CACCAAGAAATTATTATTATTATTATTATTATTATTATTATAAGATTACTAGAATTGTTATTATTATTGGTGAAATAAATCATATAAAAAAAATATGTAAATTAAGTATTCCAATCACCACCACGGCTACTACTATTAATATGTAAATTACGTATTCCAATCACCACCACGACTACTACTATTAATATGTAAATTCACGGATTATTACTTCAGCCAAGTAGGTAAACTCAAATACACATCACAGTTATTGTTAACCAGCATTAATATTTCATCCTTTCATGGACCTAACTTTTATTCTGATCTGTTGAAGTGTTGGAATTCTTTGGATATACGCCATAAGGTTAACTCCGACAATGTTTCTGACGTTCTTTCAGAACCTATTTTTAAAAATCCTCTAGTTTTGCATCCACTTAGAAATGAACCGTATGTGCTCAAACACTTTGTTGATGCTGGTATCACCAAAGTAGGTGATTTGATCGGCATACCAGGAAAAGAATGGCTTCCGTCGCCAGTTGTGTTCAGAAAAGTCGGAATGCAGTCGGAGAGAATCTTTAATCTCAGTCTAAAAATTATGCACGAGTCAATCCCTGCGTCGTGGAAAGACTGCATTCAAACATACTTTAAAAATGAATCTAGTGACCTGCCTCCGACAACTAAACACAACATTGATCTATATAACTCCGATGATTTAAATATGTCTCTGTGTAAGATGAAAAATGGGGATTTCTACAAATATATGATTTCTTTACTCCATGCTCAACATCATACTGATAAAATTGATACTGTATGGCGCAACATTTTGAGTGTTCTATCAGGGGTAAATTCTTCTCCACGGGGGTCTCCACACTTGCCAGGGGGCAATCTCGTCTCGTCTCTATATCTCGTCCCCTTGAGGTACGGGATCGGGGAAGTCACTTAAGCTTTACAGTCAAATAAGACACGCACAACGAAATACGTTTCAACTCTCGTCTTAGTCGATCAGTCGAGCACTCTATGAGACACGGCGCCCTGGGGAAAAATCCCCAAGACTATCGCAAGGCTGAACCAAGACTCTCTTAGACTGCGTCAACACTCGCCCCAAGGCTCTCCAGGACTGGACTCTCGACTGCGTCTATCGTGGAGTACTTGCCAAGACCAACTCAAAACAACTTTATTCATTTTCAAAACTCTAACCAATTACAAAGCAGTAAAAAGACTCTAAGGCGTAACCTTCAATCATACAGCCAATCACACTAAGTACTGAATACGTCATATCTTTGATTAATCGTTCACTACATTAATAACTACGGATATCAACTGTCAGAAATCGTAGTTAGAATAGCGACGGTTATCTCGTAATTAGTTCCAAATCACTGAGCCAAGTTCCGTCCAAAACTTCAAATAGGCCTAAACGATGACAGACATAACACAGCAATTCGCTAATAATCAGCTAATTAAGTCGATTAACAGATACGCAAAAACAAATTCATGACAGTTCCAAACGAGTTAAAGCCAAAATTCAAAGGATGTTACTCCCCACCATTATGAAAACTAGAAGGCGATCTTCAATGGAGAATTCTCCATGGAGCTTATACTACTCTGGCACGTATCTCTATAGTACAGCACTCGCACAACACGATAAATGCCCTGTTTGCGGCGATGACGATT